GGGGGGAGTAAGGAATTATCATCTTTGTGTTACACAATAATTCAACACACACCTAGATAAAAATAATAATAATAATAATGACACCAGAAGCTTTTAAGTGAAAAATCCATAAAGGAAAAAGAAAAAAGGAAAAAAAAAAACATAGGGTCAGACCCAGATAAAAAAACAAAAGGAAAAAAAAAAACATAGGGTCAGACCCAGATGTAAAAATTAATTATAGGTTGATGATTACAAAGATTTCTTATCTCACAGGCGGGAAAGAGCTATTAGGTTTTCCAAGTTACAACGTCGACTGACGGCTTCCGATCAGTGGTGATCGACGGTGGTTAGCGGTCTACGATTGTCGGTGGTGGTTGATGATGACAATAATGCTCGACGGTGGTTGATGGTTGTCAACGATGATCGACGACAGTTCACGATGCTCGACAACGATCGACGATGGTCGACGACGATCTGAGGCGGTCTCTGGAGGCCGACGACGATTAACAATGACAATGGTGGGGCTGGAGTTCCAACTCCTAAAAATCTTAAGTTCTCTGTCAAATCTCCAGCCTCCTCTCTTGAGAGGAGTGAGACTCTATTTATATTGTTCTTATTGTAATGAATACAATAATATGAATCACTTTGATCGAATGGTCATGAGGGCTTCAATCATACGAATTTTAATGGACATTTGAGTGCCTAAAAGATGTTGGAATTGAGCAATCTTAGGTTTGTTCGATTCGTATTGTCGAGACGCTCGATTTGATTATATGTTTGCTTGATTTGACATTTGTTTAACCTTCTAAATATGTCTTGAAAACTTATAAAGTAGTTTAATGACTTGATCTGAGCTTGATTTGACTCAGATTAGACTAATTTGGTAACATAGGATTCTTCTTGTCGAGCTGGTCAGTTTGACTGTAAGTTTGCTGAAATCAAACTTCTAGATGATTTTTTATCGATGTTCGAATATTTCTTACTTAAAAAGCCATAAATCTATAAAAAAAAAGTGATGCTTTGATCATTTATTAAAGAAAAACAAAATCAACAAAAAGTCTTGTCAAGATATCCTACACTTTTTTACGTCCTTTCTAAAATCATTGGCATGGCTTTGTTTTTTTGTCTTTTCTAATAATAAAAAAGTCTTTTCTAGGTTTATTGGCGGTGCTTTGCTTTTCACTTGGATCGTTCATCAAACTCTTTAAAATTAATTTTTCTACCCCAACTTAAATAATTAAAACTTAATTTTTCAAAATCAAAACTCATAACAAAAATAATCAAATTAACAAATGCATTGCATCCGCATCTTTGAAACGTCATGACATATAAATAACAAAATGACATAAAATAAAATAAACTAGTAACCCCTCAATTTAGGAATAAACATGAAAAGATTATCAACATGTGGTAAGATTATTTTTCTACAAATGACACCAAACTGTTCAAACTTCCTTCACTGTGAGATTTGATTAGTATCCTCGGGATTATTCTTACACTTACTCCAAAATCACTCAAATTGTTCATTGTGTGAGCTGATGGCCTCATATACAATGATTTGTTTTTTAACAAGATGAACAAGGTCAATGTAAAAGCGAACCATCTCCCGCATCAACAATAAGCAAGGAAGAACTGGGTGAAGCCCTCTATAAAAGACTCTCCCCTTGAAATCTAACAAGCTTTAGTCAAGATTCTGCAAAAATATTCTTTAAGCTATTCTTCCTCATTCTAGTAAATTTTGAAAGATTGGACGAATTTTTTATGATCCTTATGTATGAACTGTTCCTTAAATAACCTTGCAAGCATATTGAAGGTGTGGATAGTACCTCTTAAGAGAGAGTAGAACTAAGTGCAAGTATGACTTTTGAGAGTGGCAAGGAAAACTTGACAGAGAGGCATGTTGAATGTACATGATGGTTTGATAATTGTCAATGTGTTCATAAAGTTCAATTAACCTTTATGGAAATCAGTATTAGGAAGTTTGAAGCTTATGGGATAGGGTGTTGAAGGACTGCCTCAGCCAAGGTGAAGTATCTTGAAAGTTAAAAAGAATAGCGAAGAGCTATCCCTTAGAGAGAACTCTTCTCTAACCAGACACCAAAGCTCATCACAGATTATTCTATCAGGAGCGATAATAAAATGTGGTGGAGTTAAGCTTCCTGTGAGCTCTAGAGGGTTACCGTCCAACCTAGTTTCACGGGATGGACGAGTGGACCTCACATTATCGAGGAGGACAGTGCCTCAACCTATTAGAGGAATGTTTCTATCTCGAGAAAGCAATCTGGTACGAGTATGCTCAAGCTGGGCTTTTTTTGTTGGCTATTGAACTTAAGGTAAGTAATCTCAATTTAATTGTGCAAGCATCGACTGTCAAGCATCACGTAGGAGCTAAGGGACCTCATTTTGAGACTCCTACATCTTGCACTCTCAATCCTCCAAAGAGATACCCGAGGCGCCTTGTCAGGATAAATCTTCTAGTGTGGGAAGAGGTAGAAGCTTGAAATCATTAGCTTCATGACTACCCCCTGGAATGGTGGGTGTTGGAGTAAGATACTTCGTTATTGCGAGTAATACAAAAAGTGGCCATTCAACAAGTTTCATAAGTCGTGATGAGATTATTTTTCCCACAAATGAAGTCAAATCATTGTGTTAGAAGTTTCATAGGAGTTGAGTAATTATTTAGTATCCTATTCTTGCACAAAAGTCTAGCACATACATGTAATAGAAATAACAGGTAGAGACACAAAAAAATTTTATGAGGGAAACCCAAAAAAGAAAAAAGGCGAGGCATAGCCCGACCATAATGATCCACTATAAGTTGTTAAGTACAAGTAAAAGCCCTTGCTCCATATGCGGTAAAAGATTAAACAGTTCCTCAAAGTACAATATTCATATGCAGAAGAGTTGTTGCAATTTAGAGTAGTTGTCGGGACTTCAATGCACTGTCTTTTGGACAATGCATTGCTCTATAGAATGTTTCATTACTCTGTGACATAGATCATTATTTTGCACTATACTTCATTGCAACGAGTAAGGCATGCCCGATGGTGGTTGTCGGTGGCTGGCGAGTGGTGGTCAATAATGGTCGATGACAATGGAAGTGGGAAGTTTTCGTCGGGTCTTCGGTTCAGAACGACCCTGGAATTTAGCTCTTTCTTGTAGTTCTCGGTGTGTTCTTAAGTCTCGGTCTTTCCGCCTCCTTCATGAAGAGTGTAGGGCTATTTATAGAATTTGGGAGAGGACTCCCATGTGAATAACAAAAGATTCTGAACCACTCCATTGGACGACCCAGAGAGATTCCCACAATCAAACAATATTTTTTGTTCATTTTAGCGCCTCAATGATATCATAATTTAATGATCTTAAGCCCATTAGATTCGTTTCAACAAGACACTCGATTCAACTATAAGTTTTTCAGATTCGAAATCAATTGCACCTTCCAATTAGCCATCCAAAACTTTTAAAAGTGATATAACGGCTTGATCCAACATTGATCTGACTCGAATTGGATCAATTTTGGTGTCATTCAATCCGCCTCATTGAGTGGGACATTTTGAATGTAAGTTTTGCTGAAAAAGTCCTTCAAATTTTTAATTTGAGTTTGAATATTTCTTGTCAAAAAATATCTCGAGATTCGTGTCATACCTCAATATTGATGTCATATCTTCAAAATTTACCAAACATATCAATATAAAATATAATTTATTTTATAAATGACACTTTAATAAGAGAGATAACATTCATCATTTGTAAAATCTTTCACTATCCACCTTAATGAAAATTGAGTCCATCATTACTAAGCAACTGCCCTCAAACTTTATTTAATGTCATGCGATTTTATTTAGATAAAAAAAATTACCGCCTGGAGAAGATACAATCAGGAGCGTTTATGTAGCACATCAAATGAAACGATCAAATAAAATTAAATGTATAACTCTATGACTCATTAAAATTTTGAAAATATTTAAAATATAATTATATTTTTATTTTGTATTTTTTTCCTTATGACAATATATGATCAACCCTCATTATGTAGTTAATATACAAAATTTGTTTTAATTTAAGGTAATTTAATGTTTATATCTATGGCTTCATATGCAATGAGAGTTTTTCTTGGGATTTAAATGATAAAAATTCTTTGGAGCAGTTTATTCTTTTTTATGTTGGTGTTTGGTGGTCTAACTATGACCTATTTCAGTGGGGTTTGGTAGTTATCTTTTGTACTTATTTATTATTCTTCTTAATCCTCTTCAAAACGTTGTTGTCATGTTTAATTATATCCTACCACCTCCTAGACTAGTTACCCATGACTCAAGACATCAAATCTAACCTATGCCTCAGCTCGATGCTCTTGGTCTGGCTAGGTGCATCCTCTCATGGTCGTATTCTCAATCACTCTATAAGTACTCTCACTGTTGCGCCCCTCTAAAAACTTACCGATTCACTTATAAGACTAAACATTGAATAACATGTTATGTTGATCCGCCAATCTTATTTGTTGATGCGGAAGCTGTCAAGCAAACTTGCCTAACTGGCCCGCCGGATTTTCCCACCAAGCTAATCAAGAAGACTGGCCCGATGGACCAGCCTAATAGATTGATTATTCGTACTCCTCTACAGAGCTCGCCTCATCGGTGATCCTCAAAATTGACCTAACATTAAATTCAAGACATACGTTAAGGATTGACATAATCAACTTCATCATTTATGAGTTGCTTGGCATTCGCGTCGAAATCTTTTCATCAAGACATTTTAGACTTACTTTTGTCTATAATGACTTGTATTCTTACATTTTCTTTTTCAGGAAGAAATATAAGAGGGGGGTAGAGAGAGATTCCAGGGAACGGCTCTCAGGGCCTTTTTCGGAAAAATTCCACGTTGTGAGAACCTCCTCTCATTAGATCATCTTCTCCGTTTCATCGGATAACAAAACACATAATTGAAGCCCGGAGAACATATCTATCTTATTCTTTCACATTTCTTACACAAGTCTCTTCCTTGTTATGTGAACTCACGAACAACACGAGACCTAACGTCCTAAAAATAATCAACAGAATCAATTCATTTTGATTCAACAAATTCAAATCATTCTCATGGTCAAACTCAAGTGATCATGACATCATCAAAATTATTTCTATGAAATGTATTTGCATTATATTTCTATACTCTTGGGAATCATTTGTTTTCTGAAATAACTTTTGAGTCAGATTTTTAATGTAGTCACTTCCTTTTAAAAGTTTTAAGTTACTTCGACATTTGTATCTATCATCATAAAATATGTTCGATTATAATTTTTGTGATCCCACAATCACTCCATTTTAACTAACTAAACTTAAAAGACAAAGCATGAATCAACTATTTCATAAATTAAATTTAGGATATATATATATATATATAAAGAAAATCGATATTTGACAGATGCCCAAATATCGATTTCCCATGTGCAATCCGGCCCCATGAAGATAGTCTGCGCCATGTGTCTAAAATTCGACCCCCCACGCACCACGGTATGGATCGAACTCTTGCCAGAGGGGACTTACAATGACCCTGCCTACCAACTGAACAAGGAAGTGCTCACCTTATAAAAAAAAAACATTTTATTTTTCTTAACTATCTTTTGCTTTATAGATATGATCAGCACCAATTGTACGATGGCAAAATTCCATGCATATTTTTCCTGCTTTTGAATCTTCTAGACCGTTGGAATTCTGAGTCAAAATCTACATTTTCTTCTAAAGTCAAATAAATGGATGAGAATGTTGTTATTAAAATGCATTAATGAAGTGCCTTAAATATCAAATTAATTAGCCGAAACAATTGCATTAAATAACAAAAAGTATTTATTAAAAGCCACGAGACTTCTCGACAACATACTTTGAACGTCATGTCAAAACATAATTTCTAAACTCTATATAAAGCAAAATGAGATTTATTTGAGTCATTCTTCTTATTACATTTACTAGCATTTAAGTTTTCACAAGATATTATTTTTATAATTATATAGGAATAACAAGTTTTTATGGTTCTCTCTTACACACAATATCCCGTCTTTCTTTTTTTATATTTAATTTGTGTTAGAAGATTCACGGAATTATTGAATTATCATGGCACGAGAATCCAACACACACACAGATAATAATAGTGAAAGGTATAAACACTAGAAGTTTTTGTGTGGAAAAATTCGGAAACAGAAAAAAATCACAGGATCTTACTTGGTTGGAATGATTCACTATAAGATGGTGTTATATGCATGAACAATTGTCCCACTGGCAGAAAAGGATTGAACAGTTGTTGAATATAAAATATTTGTTGTACAATGGTCAGGAGTGATTGCAGTTAGGAACAGTTATTAGAGCTTCAGTACGCCGTCTTTGAGGGGCGTCATTGCTTCGCAACGTACTTTGAGATCCCATAGTGCACATTGTGATTTTTCAGTCTGACAGTGATCAATGATTGCAGGAGCGGGTGGCGTTCGTCTGGTCTTCAGTCTGGAACGAAACTGTAATTCACCCCCTTATTCTCGATCCTGTTCCAACTCCAATTCTTCCTCTGGTTCAAGGTCTAGCCCCAATGTCTCCTTTTATGAAATGGGTATGACTCTATTTATAGATTATGGGAGAAGCCTCACTAAAATTAAGAAAGGAATCCGAAGCACTTCATTGGAAGGCACGAAGAGGCTTTTTCAATCGGACGACATTCTGTGGACATTTGAGTGACTTCATGATGTCAAAATTAAGCTATTTTGGGCTCGCTGGATTGGCCTCATCGAGATGCTTGATTCAAATATAAGCTTGCCAGATAATGAATCTTTTTAACATTTCAATTGGGCACCCGAATCTTGCAAAAATAGTTTAACGTCTCAATCTAGGCTTGTTTTGACTCAGATTGGGTCAATGTGGTGTTATTTTGTTTGTCTCTTCGAGCCAGTCAATTTAACTGTAAGTTTTCTGAAATCAGAGTTATGGATGATTTTTAATTGAAGTTTGAACGTTCCACGCTCAAAAAATTATCTCGAGATTCACATCACGCCATCCATTTCAGATGATGAAAATTTATTGACAGAGTATCAATATTATTATTATGATTCTAACAATAACATACATCTTTTCATGCATAAAATTTAACACCAAAATATTTTAAATGTAAATATCAAACTTCAGGTGTTAAATATATAAATAAATTTATAGAATGCAAAGTGCCAGTAATATAAAGTTAACTAAGATTAATTAAGAACTTGATGATTAAAATTAACAAACAAAATTGATTAGTTTTCTACCCATACTTAATTATTGCTCATTATAATCCTAAACAGCATGTCATGATTGAATAATCAACCACTCTATAAAGACAAAAAAATAAAGATCCCTAAAATCACCACAATATTGTATGGTTGAACATCTAGTCTCTCAAAAAACATATTTTAACAGGTTAGATCCAACCAAATCATAAAATGGTTGACATTTTCGGCCTCATAATTTTTAGTCGTCAGGCTATAAGAAGAGTAGTTTGTCTTCTTTTATCTTTATTTGATTAATCTAATAGAAAAAAAATGAGCCACTTGAAACTCCAACAAAACTTAATGTTGAAATTCATGAAAAAGTAGGTTAGATTGTAAATAAGAATTATTGGGGAGAAAGACATATTGGAATTAAAAATTATTTACACCTCATACGCTTTGAATGATTTTTCGTTCAAATCATGTTCGACTATTAAAAATTATTTACACCTCATAGGCTTTGAATGATTTTTCGTTCAAATCATGTTCGACTGAGGGCTCGGTACGTGAGGGCTTGGTACGAGTGCTCGAACTCAGAGCTTCAAAATATTTCACTTTGTTTTCAACCAATATGTTATATATCGGAGCACGAATAAAAAGATACCGACTAAACAAAGATAATTTTAGATTTTGTTGCAGTGAACTTAGTGTGAGGGCATATTAGGATTAAAATTCTTACATAATCCTTAGATATATATATATATATATGTTGTCAATGACTCATTGTATTTTACATCTCTCATCTAGAATGATCCCACTCCTCATATATTCATATACATGCCACTTAATGCCTATGTATTTACGAATCTACACTTGAAAACTTTTATATACATGCCACCTAAACCATGCATGAAAAGCCTATATTTGCCTATGTATTTACGAATCTACACTTGAAACTTCAACTTTTATATGCATGCCACCTAAACCATGCATGAAAAGCCTATATTTCACTCTTTATGAATAATTTGGGTGATATAAATGTAAAAAAGAAAAGAAAAATGTAGATGTTAGACATGTAAATAGATAGGAATTGGGTGGTATGCATGTAAACTCCCCATTAACAGGTCCTTACAGTCATCTTACAGAGAAATAATTCACTTCCAGTAACTATTATTAGCAACTGTGTTGTGTCTCATTCACCAAGATCCCACACAGTAAAAGTCATACGAAATACTATATTCCAATTTTATTTTTAATATGAGCATATTTTTTCTCTTAACAAGAAGACATCAAAGATTATCATTACACTCAAAGGAAACAAACAAGAACACATGGTATAACATAAAACTAATTAAATTATGATAAATCATACAGGATCAACAGAACTCCCAAAAAAAAAAAACCAAAAGAAAACATTCAGTTAGTTGAACTTCAGCCTCAACTTATTTATCACTTGGGACATTTATATGTATAAATTACACAATTCTTATGAATTTTCATATCCCAAGCCTAAACTTTCATATTTACACACATAGGTTATGTATGTAAATATGAAAGTCTAGACGTGAGATATGTAAATACACAAAAATTGTGCAATGTATGTAAATTCCCCTTATCATTTTATGTATTTATACAGCTTATCCTAATTACTGACCGACATTGCTGCAGGAAGCTTCCATCATTCCGTTACGTATCTGGTCGCTTATATCTTTCACATGGCCGGGGCCGTGAGGCAAAAAGACAGTTGTATTCTTCGACGAATTCCCGAGTTCCTTAATCGTATCGAAGTATTGGGTCACCATAATGAGGTCCATCACTTCCTTTGCCGACGCGCCGGAGACGCCGTTCGAGATGTTGAGGATGCTCTCTCTCAAACCTTCTGTTATTGCTTGCCGCTGCTTCGCAATCCCGACACCACCAAGATATTTGGCCTCTGCCTCTGCTTCGGCTTTCTTCACAAGGAGGATTTTCTCAGCCTCACCTTTGTAGACGCTAGCAAGTTGAAGCCTCTGAGCTGCAGTGATAATTGTTGATATTGAAATGATAAATGGGGGATGGAAACGAGAATTATGTTAAAAATATCCAAATGAAACCAACAAATATTGACTTATAGTAGCGATGGACATGCAGAGTAAATTTTATAATAGCAATCATCAGCATAAGTTTTCCGTGATTATTTGAGGTAAGTTGTAAGAAGAACATGACAATTAGATTCTTCTAACCTCCTCTCAAGTCAAGATTTTATTGGAAGATTTGCATACACACTCAATTCTTATGCATTTATATATCTAACATCTAAACTTTAATTTTTACATAAATGCCATCTTACCTATCCTAAAAAGATGTATTTTAGTTTTTAAAAGTTAAAATAGTGGTACTTTTATGTAATACAAAAGAGGGGCTATTGTAACTATTCTAATTTTATATCATCTCATCAATCCGTGGACTATTGTAAATATGTTGTAATTATTATTTTGCCTACTTATTAATTTGTGGACTCTGTAACTATTCCTTTGTGATTTCGTCTTTCCTATTAGAAGGTCTCCCAAATGTATATAAAGGCTACGCAAATGTTTAAATGAAATGTGCAATTAATTCTCTTCAATTCTTTTCATGGTATAAAAAACTTGAGCCTTTTTGCTTAGCATTCCAATAACTTGTAGCCTTCATCAGTATTTTGCCTAAAACACGAGAACTATTATTGCTGCAAATCCTTTTTCATTCTATCTAATATTTTCAGTTGTAATATTCATCACTACATAATCTCTATTCTTCTTTCTCTTTGTGACCAATCACTGTTACATTTTTCCTTCCCAAATATTTTTCTATTTCTGTTGGTTTACATCAGGGATCGACTTTAAGCCCATATCTTTTTGCTTTAGTTATGGATGGTCTTACTGGACATCTACAGGAGGATGTACCTTGGTGTATGCTTTTTGTTGATGATATTCTTCTCGTGGATAAAACGAGAGAAAAAGCCCAGGAAAAACTTGAATTATGGAGGTCTACATTGGAGTCTAAAGGCCTTCGTTTAAGTAGAACAACAGAATACATGGAATGTAATTTTAGTAGTAATAGCTCTAGTGACAGAAGTGTGACTTTGGGTGATCAAATTATTAAAAGGTGTGAATGATTTAGATATCTTGGGTTCGTTGTCCAAAGCGATGGTGATATAGATGGGGATGTTAACAGTAGAATTCAAGTTGGTTGGTTGAAGTGGAGGAATGCTTCGGGCCTTTTGTGTGATAGAAAAGTACCGCTAAGACTGAAAGGAAAATTTTATAAGATGGTGGTGAGACCTGCAATGCTATATGACGCTGAATGTTGGCCTTTAGAAGAGAAGCATAATAATAAGTTAAGTGTTGCCGAGATGAGAATGATTAGGTGGATGAGTGGCTTTACACTTAGAGACAAAATGCGGAATGAATATATTCGTGATAGGGTTGGTGTAGCTCCTGTGACAGACAAAATTAGAGAAAGTCGTCTTAGATGGTTTGGTCATATTAAACGTCAACCATTAGATGATCTGATTAAGAGAGTAGATGTTTTAAATTTGACTTGTGTTAAGAAAGGCAGAGGTAGACCTAGGAAGACTTGGGCTTATTGTATTAAAAATGATCTTAATTTACTAGAACTAAATGAAAATATGACACTAAATAGGACGCAATGGAGAAAAAGGATTCATGTAGCCGACCCCACGTAGTGGGATTAAGGCTTTGTTGCTGTTGTTGTTGTTGTTGTATAGAACTAAAAAAACACCCATGTTTTCTTGGTCTTTTGGTCGATTTGGAGCCGAAATTAAAAACTCAAATCCAATCTAAGAATTATAGAATATACTTTCAATATATCATTTGAATGTAAGGAATTACCAAAAGTGACCACAATTTATTTCAACATATTAAAAGAGAAAAATTGGGCCTTGGCACAAAATCTCAACAAGCAATCCCACATTCAATATTGAAGATGAACAATACTCTATAGTGATATCATGGTTATGGAACTTAAAGGTTCCTAAAATACGTGGCATGCATCTTCATTTATTCAGCAACGGAAATTTGGTATACAACGAATTAAATGTTTTGTAAAGTCCATGATGCCACAAAAAAAAAAAAAAAAAAAACTCAAAATAACGAACTCGCACACAATGCAAGAAATCAATCCATCAGAAATACTCCAATCTACTATAAGTCCTTTGGCAAGAGATGGATAATTATCATGCATATAAATCAAATGCAATAAAAATGTGACCCTCCCTAAAACTTTGTTGAAAAAGGCAATTTATGATTTTCATGCTAGATTAAATAGAGTTTGATGATGTTATAATACAAATTCTCAAAAAGAAAGATTGACCTTATCTGAATGAAATCGTTGCCACCATTCAAATGAAATAATAGAGAAGGGTAGTTAAGATAGTTGACAAAAGGTTTAGCTCTAATGACAAGCTACCGGCATCAAACAACCAAATTCAAAACTCTCATCCTCTAAAGAGCACAGGCAGACAAATACTCATAATGGTTGATAAAGGCTTCCTGTTGCAAGACGGCGCAACATACAAAAAAAAAAAAAAAAAAAAAAAAAAAAAAGATGATGAAGCTTCATGTCTAGACACTAAGCAAAAGTCAAACAATATTAAGAAGACAAGTAACAAAATATATGATGTGTGAAAGAAATCATCGATTGGGTTTCAAAAGGATATTAAAACTTAAAGGGATTTTGGGTTATTAATTCAAGAGCTGCAACCATATGAAAAATGTTTCATAAAAGTTTATTTCATATACTTCTTCCCTAGCACAAGAAAATAACCATTTTAAATAGATCATTGATGACCGTTACTAGCCAATGAGATATTCTTATAAATAAATCTCTCACAATTTTAAATGTCCTTCATGCACCTAAATTATTATCCAATTTGTTATCAATCCAAAAGTTGACTGCATATTCACAATGCAATAATATATTTTTCCATCATGTAAATCAATAATAGGGCATGAGGAGAATGATTGGACTTGCTAAAGAAAGAGATCGTCACTGCCACATTACATAATCTAATAACCAATGAAGCTCCAGAGTATCTATTGTATAATTTTTCTTTTATTAAATATAAGTACTATAAAGAAAAGAGATAGCTCCAATACCTTTGTCATGATCATCCATCTTTTATTATTCTCCAACTATGTTTTCATTTCAAAAACATTAGCATTACCTAATTTCATTGTGATATTTGTGAGTTAGCTAAAAATGACATGATAAGTTTTCCAACAAGTAACAATAAACACAATTCCTTTTTCTCTCATTTAAAATGACATATGAGAACCGTCCTCTATACCTGACATAATAGAGGCTTAATTGCTTGTGCCCTTCATTGATAATTACACCTATTTGTCATGGATGAATGTGATGAATGCCTTCTTACATAGCGATCAAGAGGGGGCATATATGGAGGCTTCACCAAAGTTTGGCTCATACATAGAAGTATCTGAATGAAGGATGACAACAAGTGAATTGATGCAAACTCTAAAAGCTTGGTTCAAAAGGTCTGCCAAGATAATACTTAGCAGGGGTTACAAACAAAGTCAAAGAAACCATACATTATTTGAATGACACAACAACAAGAGGAGTCTATGTCCTACTAGTTTATGTTAAGGATATCATCGTAACATGTAATGACTCAGAATGTATGAAGATTTTAAGGAAAAAGACTACTACAAGAATCTGAAGATAGAATTATGTAAGCCAATGTAACTATTTGACTTTAAGTTTGCACATTTTCAATATAGATCTTTATAAGCTAACAATAATCCATGATGTATCTATTAAAAGAAATAGCATTTTATAATCAACCTGATATCACATATGTTGTTGGTATGGTAAGTCAATTCATGTATATTCCTAAAGAACTCTCCTAATGATTACACGTTAAATTCAGTAATACCTGCAAAAAACTCGATGTAAAATAATTTTATTCAAAAGAGAAGAAAATCTAACACTTAAAGACGATACATATGTTGATTATGCATCATCTATAATTGATTGGAAGCCAACTTCAAGATACTGAACATTTTGGTGGGCAATCTCTAGACTTTCAGATATAAAATATAAAATATGGTGGCAATTTAACATAAAAGCCAAATTTAGACCTAAGACACTAAAATTCTAAAAATTATGGCTGATAATTATCATAAAGATTTATAGGCTAAATGAAATAGTCATATTATGCTTTATTGTGACAACAAATCACTCATCAATATTGTACAACATCCAACACAATATCGCTAAACATAACATATTGAAGTAGATGTGCATTTTATAAAGGAGAAGCTCCATGATAGTCAAATCTATACTCCATTGGTCATCTATGATAGCCTATTTGCATATATTCTCAGCAAAAGATGATTTAGACTAATACTTCAAAATTTAACATTCAAACTTAAAATGGTTAGCATTCATCCATTCACTTGGCAATGTTCCACCAAACACCTTATTTATTTCATGATAACTCAAATATCAATTTCATCTCTATTAAATTTGCTTCTAGCAATGTTCCACCAAACACCTTATTTATTTCATGATAACTCAAATATCAATGGGATTAGTAGTCCCACCTCGATAATCCATGTATTATTGTAATCAACATAATTATTCTATCTATTCGTGAACTACTGAACTATTGTAATTATTCTTCCTTAATTTTTTATATTTCCTATTAGAAGCTCTCTTTAAATTGTATAAATACTACAAAATTTTGTCATTAAATATTTGACCAATTCTCTCCAATTTTTATCAGTAATATCATGTTATTATCATATATTAATTGCTTGGCTCACGTCATCATTTAACAAACACTCATAAACGATGATTAAGGGTGCGTCTAGGGCAGTAGTGTAGTGGCAGTGCGGTGTCGTGCCGCGCTTTTTTTGTGTTTGACAAAACTGTATTTTATCTACTTATTCAAAAAGGATTCAAAAAGCTGCAGATATAGCTGCGCTTTGCAACCTTACCTAGCTAAGGGTCTGTTTAGGACAGCTGCAACTTATCCACCTTATCCAGATAAGTAACTTATCCTGATAAGCTGGTGATCAGCAGCTGATCCGAATAAACTGGTTGGTTGCTTAGTTTCTGCGTTTGAAAAACAGCTGATTTGCAGTTATTTCTAAATAAATGATCATTCTGTCTCTGATCTGGATGAACTGGCTACTTGTTTGCTCAAGAGAAGCGAGGGTATTTAATTTCCCATGAGCATGTATTTCAATATCTCCATTTAAAAAAAAAAAATTCCAAACGAGTTTGTTTTTTTCCTCGAACAGTACACAAATTTCCCTTGAATCACTACTCGCGCTTTCTCGAATATATATTTTGAAAATTACCCTTATTCCCCAAAAAATTATCTTTCGAGCTCGTCGGCTACAATAGCACAATAAAATAATATTGCAATATTACAACACATATTTTCTTCTATTATACAATATACATCAAAAAAAATACGTAATACGAAAATAAAATAAAATGAGAAAATAAAATGAACAGCAAAGCTACTGTTTGGTGCGAGTATGGTAAAAGATGATCGGGTTGGGCTCACTAGTGTACTGGTTTGAACGAGAAGAGCCAGGGGGAATTCTCGGCTTAATAGATAGGGGAATTGCGCATAAGCTAAGGTAGAATCGAGCTAGTGCAAAGATGTGTTCGGCGCAAAGAGGAAGAATAAGCTTTGTTACGGCACAGAAGAAGACAATTAGGTCTTGTTCAGCTTATAGGAGTGACAAGAGGGATCGCACCATAGGAAGAGGGTAACGTGCAGTTTATGGCACAGTTGATCTGATTTGGCGTGGGGAATCGCGGCAGTGGGAGAAGCGGCGAGGCTTGCATATCGCCGTCATTGATCTCGTAAATGGAGGAGAGGGATCGTGCAAAGGCTTTTATCTAGCATTTGGTTTGCGTGAAGAGCTCTGTGTTCGACTTGAGGAGACGGACATGGCAGTAAACGGACAGGAGAAGGGCACCAGAGAAAATATAAGCCTCATGGACGCACGAACCAAACGGCGATGCGGCGTTTTCAAAACATATAAGCTGCCCCAAACGGACCAAAAGTATGGTAGCCGCTAGGAATCTGCAGTCCGACTTTTCGAAAAAAAAATTATAATAGTCACGACAACTTTTTGGCAATACTTTCACAGTTACATTTTCAAACAGCAGCAGCTGCCCCAAACAGACTCTAATCAATTTCTAATGACATCAAGATGACAATCAATTCGAAAAATATTTAGGTTATTTGATTGCTAAAAAACTTTTCGATAATAAAACATCATTTAAGTATGATGACATCAAGATAAGGACAATTTTTGTTAGAATTGTGCCATCTACATTGAACACAAAATCCCCCTAATTATAGTTATTCAACTTTGCCACTAGTATTTTAGCTTTCTAATAACCTCAACTTTTATATATTTATAGATTGTGAAATACTAAACCTTCAAAGTGTAAATTTATTTTTTCTATAAAAATTAAATTACTACTAAATTTATGATCATTGAAGTCTTCTTCAATTACCTCCTTCTACCACCCAAGAGTTTTGTGAAAACCTCCCCCAAAAAAAAAAGGAACAGAAAACTTTGATACCAAAACTTTGAAAAAAAAATCAAATCTAAAAATTCAAAAGAGATCTATAATTAAATATAAATACTCAAACTAAAAAAGATGTTACAATCATACCATCTCCTCTTAATAAACCATAAAATCCACATCCTCTATAACTCTTACCATCTTCCAAAATTCCCTCAACAATATCCTTAATAATTCACTACACAATATCCTCCAAAATTATTTCCATGACATCCTCTACAACTCAACTAAAGTCCCTAAACATATCCTTGTTTTAATTTCAAATTGAAAGTTAAAATTTAGGTGTGAGTATGAAAAATTGAATGCAAAATTTGATTCGAACTTCCAACTAATCTCCTTCCACATTCCCTCCACAATTTTCTCTAACCATGTTGGCCCAATCAAAGATAATTAACTTCTCAAAGCCTAACATATTCCCCCCAATTTCGCAAAATGCAAGCTCTACCCCACCAAACCCAATCAAACAATTTGGGTTTAGCCCAACCTGACTGACCAAATAAGAAAAAAAGGACTTTCAACCAACTCTACAAATTAAAAAGATGAGAATATTCTCAAACTATGCACAAAGACCTACTAAGCTATCAAAGCCAACTTTCCAAAGAAAATGATAGTGCTCCTGAGGATCAATGAGGGAAATCAACCAAATTGTATTTGATGATGATGCTATTTTCCTTCATCTCTTCTTTCTCAAATGAATTTCCCATATGTCTCCGCTGTTCATATCGAATTTCCTGCAAGATAGACTTTGCTGGCTCCAAAATAATCAATGACCTCCAATTCTTCTACCAAATATTTTAAATTTGATTTCTTCACAGTTAAGAGTAATCAATGTAATAAAAGAAGCATACTTTTGTTAATCAGTTGAGTCTTATTTGTGGCAGTAATTGTATAGTTAGTATTTTATATGCCTTCTCCTTAACATTTTGCAAATTTTCAAGGATAAAATTATCACTTATTATTTTGGCGATCCTTGTCATTAATTTATTTTTTTTATCACTACTTTAATGTTAGTAGGGTTAAAAACTCCATAAATAAAAGATTACTACCAATTATAGTAAGTCTTAGATTATAATTGCAACTGATTGAGTAATGAACTAAGTAATGGTACCGTAAGGCTCCCAATTTTCTTCTTAATCCATCAACATAAAATTTATTTATTAGTTTGATGGGAGGATTTTTTACCTTTCATTGTGTATGGTCAAAGCACAAAACTCTTTTTTTAATTATTTTATTTTCAATAGATGTTACTTTTATTGTTTCTTTAATATAGTCTTTTCTTAGTTTACTTGTATTTTATAGCATCTATCTTAGCCTTCTCATATTTGCAATTCAACTCAACTATCAACAATTTATTTGCTATCCAACATTTGAATCAATTCAATGCATCGAATATAGTAATAGTTTTATAAAATTTACCTTCAAATCCCTCAAAAGCACTCCATTTCAATATAATGGATCATAAAATAATAAAACTTATCGCATATTGGCATCACTTTATCATCTAGCAAATATGGAATCATAATTGTCGCAATCATTTCTGCTAAACATGTATACAATAAATCACTGTATCAAAACTACAGGATTCACCAACCTTCAATTTTGGAATAAAATGGATGCAAACATTGTAGATAAGGAGATGAATTTGATCGAAAACCAAGACCGACTGGCTTCCATTAAAGGTGAAGATCGACAAAAGTAAACTAACACTGACATGCGTCCTTTACACATTGGCTCAAGCAACAAGCCAAAACTAGCGTCCCCTCATTTTTGTTAAAGAGTTTCAAGAGCTCCAAGTTAAACAAAACAACTGCCCTAATTTGTTCTAATTACTGCAGATTGCAGGTTCCAACTAGTCAGCTTAGTTAAATCCAGTTCAACAAACTGATATACAATAGAAGACAAAAATTCTCAAAAAATACCATGTAGAAATATTTACTCAGAACACCCTTAAGAAAATAGTAATCATTCAATGCAATTCTTGAGCTATAACATTCCTATTAGATAGGAGAGGAAACTTGAAGAGAATAAAATATTGTATTGTCTTTCTAATAGGAGCATAAATGTGCATACAGATAGGCAAGCGAAGATAATAATAAAAAATAATACAATAAGGAAAAATGCCTTTAATAACGAGGAAAATTTACAGTAATAGATAGTGCATATTCCTACTACAAATAGTTAAAACATGTGATAGATATGATAACAATTCCACTGCGATGACCCTAAAGCTGACTATAGGCCAAAATCAACTCAAACAAATTTGAACCCTACTATGAACTTTATGGATCACAAATAGTTAAATATTATGACTATCAAGCAGAAAAACATGCATACACCCTCACAAACGAGTTCTCCTCACAAGCAACTTGCATATTCCTTCAGGCTGAAAACTATTTTTTTTTAAAAAAAAGACATCGCCGATTAAAACATAATATATAACCTAAATTAAACAACAAAAGAGACTTCCACCACAAGAGGACCTAATTTTTTTCCCAATTAAAAAAAAAAAGGACTCATTCATCAAATGTAACTTCCAAAGGACATAGAACTGTGTTTGAAAAGTCCAGTTGTCCCTCCAAAATAATATATGCAAATTTAACTGATCTCTGACACGTGCACCCCATAAATCTAAACCGACAAACGAGTAAATTCCAGAAACTTGCAAATATTTATTTCTTAAAGCTACAATAATTACACTGAACACTTCTTCAAGCTCAACAATGATACATTTTTTGCATGGAAAAAATTAAAACTAATCCAAATACCACTATAAAGAATAAATAAAAGCTATTGAATTGCACATGAAATAAGGCAGCATGAATATAATCAACACAAAACAGCCAAGAGCCAACAATATGGTAACAAAAGAATCACCATTCAAGATTTATCTTGCCAAAATAGGCCCAAATTATAGAAATTTGCTGAAAAACAAAACGTCTGTAAACCAACGGGAATATTTGGCATCGACACCCTCACAAATGGAAGCCTGTGATGCAGAATGCTATAGAGAAAATGGTCAATTGGTCATAATATGCAAAAATTTAGAAGTCTCCATCAATGAATCAAAACAATAAAATTTTTAGAAAGAGCAAGAGCTTAAATCATCAAAACCTGAAGAAACAAACCTGCATTTATCTCATTCATAGCTTTTCGCACAAAAGAATCGGGTATAATGTCAACCATGAGAATCTGCTCAATATTATATCCATATGCTCCCATTACCTAGTCAGTTATTTAACAGAATAGGTTAACGCCTATAAAAAAACATGATAGACAATGTAGGGCAGATAAATTCGTTCAAAACCCAAAACTCAATCAATAATTACCCAATTTTTAATTTACTTGAAATTAAAATAAAGTTTCCTAAAGTCCAGAAAGGCTCACTAGAAATTAGTTCTATTGTCAAAATCATATATAAAGAGAAGATTTAAGTTACCTTTTCAAGTTCTTCCAGTACAGCTTTTGCCACTTCGCCCTTTTGTTCGAAGAGTTCATCAAGGGTCATCCTTGGGACATGGGCACGAACAACTACAGTTGCAAATATGGGCAAAAATGTCATTCAGAATATGCACAAAACTATGGAAGCATGAATTCATGTCAAAAGTTCATATGGTTATTCAACAACAACAAAGCCTTAATCCCACTACGTGGGGCAGGCTACATGAATCCTTTTTCTCCATTGCGTCCTATTTAGTGTCATATTTTCATTTAGTTATAATAAATTAAGATCATTTTTTATACAATAAACCCAAGTCTTCCTAGGTCTACCTCTACCTTTCTTAAAATAAGTCGAATCTAAAACATATACTCTCCTAATCGGATCATCAGTTGGACGACGTTTAATGTGACCAAACCATCTAAGACAACTTTCTCTAATTTTGTCCGTCACTGGAGCTACACCAACCCTATCACGGATATATTCATTTCGCATTATGTCTTTAAGTGTAAAGTCACTCATCCACCTAATCATTCTTATCTTGGCAACCCTTAGTATTATGCTTCTCTTTTAAAGACCAACATTCAGCGCCATAGAGCATTGCAAGTCTCACCACCATCTTATAAAATTAAAAAATTATATTCATTTGGTTATTCAAAGAACAAAGAATATTTAAAAAAAAATCACAAAAATATAATAGATACATCATTTGCTTCAATGTAGTTGACAATTATTATTTGTACTTCTACTTTCCAATCAAATGCAATGATTTCATTTTCAAACACAAAATGACGAGAAAGCAAATTTCAAATTTTGTTAATAATGCCTTCAACCAAAATTAACTAAATTAACAATAACAACAAACCTTTATCCCACTAAGTGGGGTTGGCTACACAAATCTTTTTCTCCATTGCATCCTATTGAGTGTCATACTTTCATCTTTCATTTAATTCTAAATATTTTCATTTAATTCTAATAAATTAAGATCATTTCTTCTACAACATGCCCAAGTATTTCTAGGTCTATCTCTACATTTCTTAACATAAGTCGAATCTAAAACATCTACTCTTCTAATCGGATCATTAGATGGTCGACATTTAATGCGACCAAACCATCTAAGACAACTCTCTCTAATTTTGTCTACCGCTGGAGCTACACTAACCCTATCATGGATATATTTATTTCACATTTTGTCTCTAAGTGTAAAACAACTCATCGACCTAAGCATTCTCATCTCGACAACACTTAACTTAGTTTTATGCCTCTTTTAAAGGCCAACATTCAACACCGTAGAGCATTGCAGGTCTCACCACCATCTTATAAAATTTTCCTTTCAATATAATCGGTACTTTTCTATCACACGGTACTTTTCTATCACACAATTTCTATCACACAATAGGCATGAAGTATTCATTCACTTCAACGAACCAACTTGAATTCTACTAATACCATCTTCATCTATATCGCCATCACTTTGAACAATAGGCCCGAGATATCTAAAGCATTCACACATCTTAATAATTTGATCAACCATAGTTACAACTATGTCACTAGAGCTACTACTACTAAAATTACATTCCATGTATTCAGTTTTAATTCTATTCAAACAAAGGCCTTTAAACTCCCATGTAGACCTCCTTAATTCAAGTTTTTCCTGAACTTTTTCTCTAGTCTTATCCACGAGAAGATATCATCAGCGAGAAGTATACACGAAGGTACATCCTACTGTAAATGTCCAGTAAGGGCATCATAACTAAAGCAAAAAGATATGGGCTTACAATCAATCTCTGATGTAATCCAACTAAAATAAGAAAATATTTGCTCAAAGCATCATAACTAAAGCAAAAAGATATGGGCTTAAAATCAATCTCTAATGTAATCCAACTAAAATAAGAAAATATTTGCTCAATCCTCCTTCCATTCGAACACAAGAACAGTTGTAGTATACATATCTTTAATAACTTGAATATAAGTCATATCAAAACCTTTCTTCCCTACAACTCTCCAAAGGATACCTCTTGGAAACTTATCATAAACTTTTACTAAATTAATAAAAACCATATGTAGATCCTCTTTATTCTCTTCGAACTTCTTCATCAAACCTCTTAATAAATGTATAGCTTTCATGGTAGACCTGCCCGACATAAATTCAAATTGATAATGACAAATCTTTGTAATAAGTCTTAACCGATGTTCAATTACCCTCTACCATAATTTTAAAGTACGACATCAACTAAATTCCTCTATAATTTGCACACTCTTGCGCATCCTTTTTATTCTAAAAAATGGAGACCAAAATACTCTTCCTCCAATCCTCAGGCATCTTTTTAGTTTTTAAAATAATATTAAAGAGTTTAAGCCAAGAATCTCCCAAATCTCCTATATATTTTTACATTGTAATTGGGATATCATCAATTCCCATAAACTTTCAACCATTGGTTTTCTTTAAAGTCTCATCAACATCTTTTTTACAAATGCGACTGTAAAAATGAAATATTTTATTATTATTAATGATATTAAAATCACTAAGGTCGATCGTATTTTCAGAAACTTCATTAAAAAGTTTTCAAAATAATTCATCCATTTATGTTGAATATTTTTTTCTAAGAAAAACACTTTTTTATTTTTCATCATTAATACACTTGAGTTAAATCTTTACTTTTCTTTTCTCTTTGTTGGACTAGTTTATACATATATTTTTCACTCTCCTTAGTAAATACATAATTTTTAGCGGCACAGGTTGTTCTCTTAGAATCCCTATGGGCTATTTTACATTTTTTTTTCAGTTCTCTAAGCTTTTATATTTAAACAATTTTTTATAACAAAATTGTTTACATTATCTTTTGTTGCACATTATATTTCACCGCAAACTATTTTTATTTATAGAAACTTCTTTCTTTTAATTCCCCAAGTAAATCTTTTATCATTTGTTTAATAGTATTTGTTACTTTATCCCACATAAAATTTGTTTCTTCATAATATCCCAAATCTTGAAATCATGAAGTTTGCTCATACAAAAATATTATTTATGTCCTTTAGGTGTCCCCATCTAATTCTATGATAATGATTCCTAGTGTTTTTTTATTTTACATTTTCTCATCTTAAAATCTAGAACTAATAATCTATGTTGAGTACTTAAATCCTCACTTGGAATGACCTTATAATCTTTACATTCTCAACGATCTCTTCTTCTCATAAAAAAATAATCAATTTGTGTTTTATTAGATTCACTCTTATAAATAATAATATACTCATCTTTTTTCTTGAATAAAGTACTAGCATAAACAAAATCATACACTAAAGCAAAATTTAATATAACTTTACATTCTTCATTAATCACTCCAAAACCTTAGCCACCATGAATTTTTCTAAAATCTTCTACCACTCTACCTACATGTCCATTTAAATCACCTCCAATAAAAACTCTTTCTTCAAGAGGTATCATTTGTATTAAGTTTTCTAGGTCATTTCAGAATTTTTCTTTAGAACCTATATCTAAACATACTGAGAAGTATAAGCCCTTATAATATTAAAAATCTAAGTATCAATAATAATCTTAAGATCTATAACTTTATCTCCAATTCTATTAATTTTTACAGCATTATCTTTCAAAATCTTATCTATAATTATGCCTTCACATTTTCTAGTGTGACTCTTACATAAATTCTAAAGTTTAAAACCTAAGTTATCCATCTTCTTAACCTTTTCTCCAACACATTTAATTTCTTGAATACATAAGATATTTATATTTCTATGAATCATAATATCAACTAATTTCATTAGTTTACCTATGAGAGTAACTATATTCCAACCTATATTCCAAAATCCTATCCTAAAAAGTAACCAAATTATCATTCAAACTAATTTAAGATACCTCTTGGAAACTTATCATAAACTTTTAATAAATCAATAAAAACCATATGTAGATCCTCTTTATTCTCTTCGAACTTCTTCATCAAACCTCTTAATAAATGTATAGCTTTCATGGTAGACCTGCCCGACATAAATTCAAATTGATAATGACAAATCTTTGTAATAAGTCTTAACCGATGTTCAATTACCCTCTACCATAATTTTAAAGTACGACATCAACTAAATTCCTCTATAATTTGCACACTCTTGCGCATCCTTTTTATTCTAAAAAATGGAGACCAAAATACTCTTCCTCCAATTCTCAGGCATCTTTTTAGTTTTTAAAATAATATTAAAGAGTTTAAGCCAAGAATCTCCCAAATCTCCTATATATTTTTACATTGTAATTGGGATATCATCAATTCCCATAAACTTTCAACCATTGGTTTTCTTTAAAGTCTCATCAACATCTTTTTTACAAATGTGACTGTAAAAATGAAATATTTTATTATTATTAATGATATTAAAATCACTAAGGTCGATCGTATTTTCAGAAACTTCATTAAAAAGTTATCAAAATAATTCATCCATTTATGTTGAATATTTTTTTCTAAGAAAAATACTTTTTTATTTTTCATCATTAATACACTTGAGTTAAATCTTTACTTTTCTTTTCTCTTTGTTGGACTAGTTTATACATATATTTTTCACTCTCCTTAGTAAATACATAATTTTTAGTGTCACAGGTTGTTCTCTTAGAATCTCTATGGGCTATTTTATTTTTTTTTTTAGTTCTCTAAGTTTTTTATATTTAAACAATTTTTTATAACAAAATTGTTTACATTATCTTTTGTTGCACATTATATTTCACCGCAAACTATTTTTATTTATAGAAACTTCTTTCTTTTAATTCCCCAAGTAAATCTTTTATCATTTGTTTAATAGTATTTGTTACTTTATCCCACATAAAATTTGTTTCTTCATAATATCCCAAATCTTGAAATCATGAAGTTTGCTCATACAAAAATATTATTTATGTCCTTTAGGTGTCCCCATCTAATTCTATGATAATGATTCCTAGTGTTTTTTTATTTTACATTTTCTCATCTTAAAATCTAGAACTAATAATCTATGTTGAGTACTTAAATCCTCACTTGGAATGACCTTATAATCTTTACATTCTCAACGATCTCTTCTTCTCATAAAAAAATAATCAATTTGTGTTTTATTAGATTCACTCTTATAAATAATAATATACTCATCTTTTTTCTTGAATAAAGTACTAGCATAAACAAAATCATACACTAAAGCAAAATTTAATATAACTTTACATTCTTCATTAATCACTCCAAAACCTTAGCCACCATGAATTTTTCTAAAATCTTCTACCACTCTACCTACATGTCCATTTAAATCACCTCCAATAAAAACTCTTTCTTCAAGAGGTATCATTTGTATTAAGTTTTCTAGGTCATTTCAGAATTTTTCTTTAGAACCTATATCTAAACATACTGAGAAGTATAAGCCCTTATAATATTAAAAATCTAAGTATCAATAATAATCTTAAGATCTATAACTTTATCTCCAATTCTATTAATTTTTACAGCATTATCTTTCAAAATCTTATCTATAATTATGCCTTCACATTTTCTAGTGTGACTCTTACATAAATTCTAAAGTTTAAAACCTAAGTTATCCATCTTCTTAACCTTTTCTCCAACACATTTAATTTCTTGAATACATAAGATATTTATATTTCTATGAATCATAATATCAACTAATTTCATTAGTTTACCTATGAGAGTAACTATATTCCAAAATCCTATCCTAATATATCAACTAAAAAGTAACCAAATTATCATTCAAACTAATTTAATACATGAAGTTACCATCAAAAACATAAGCTTGAATCTGTTCCTGGGGATTCTGCAACTCATAGAATGCATCATCAGCGCTTTCCTTAATAACTCGATACTGGACAGAGCAAAGCAATTGCACAAAAACATTGTCCTGCAGAGAATAGCTCAAAATTAATTTCGGATACTGCTCTAAGAAAATAATTTTTCCACCTTAGCTCTGACACATATTAACCATATATCAAAAGCAATTTAAGATTTGAATTTCCAGCGTGCAGCAATAAAAACTGCTCGTAACAAAAGGTCAAATGATTCTATTACAGAATTATCACAAAAGAAAAATAAATAAGCAAACGGCAAAACTTAGATGTTGAAAATGAGATATTTCAAAAAAAAAAAAAAAAAAAAAAAAAGGTTAATTGGCGTTAGGGTTTTCCAATTCAGAGGTATTTTGACGATTGGAAGCTGGTGAATTGAACGGCAAGATGGGTGAACCTTGGTCTTGGTCTCGATGCGGACTTCGAAGGAGAAGACACGGGTGGATAGGATGCCGGCAAGGCATTCTCCGGCAATTGGGTTTAAGAAAAGGAAGCCCGGGCCGGCAAGCCGCTGAAACCGCCCCCACTCTTCCACGATACCAACACTTGCTTGACCGATGCAAGCGCAGCAGAAGCACCATAAACCACTCGACGTCATGATCGAGTCCTATTCTCCCCCTCTCCGTCTACCTCTCCCCCTCTCTTTCTTTCTCTGCGTGTATCTACTTCTGTTCAGCGGTGGTGACAACTGAGCGACGCGTTCTACAGCAGCCTTATTGTTTTTTAGTAAGATTTGTATACATACACACAACGTCTTACTATTTACAATTTAACACAAAAAAATTGATATTTACATTTAGTGGGTGATTACATACATGGCACCCAAAACATTGCTATTTACCAATCAAGTACTCTCTTTCATCCATATTTTAAATTATCACTCAAATATAAATGGTCATGATAAAATCTAAAATCATATTTTTAACTTTTATCAAATTCACAATGATTTGATCCTGACATGTGTAAATGCATCAGTTTCATAGTTCAAAAATCACATAAGAGTTTGATTTGTAAATAACAATGTGTCTTGTGCTCTATATGTAATCATCCCTTGCATTTATAATGCCTTCATTGTTGATTTTCAACGTAGAGAAATCTTAAGTCCTAACCCAGTTTAAGTGGAAACCCCTCGGTACTGGAAAAAAAAAAAAATAGGTCTAATCTAATATAAGTAATTTACTATGAACTTGAAGTATATAGGTCCGCTATAACTCAAAATAAGGGAATATGGGATTAGAAAAATTGGCAGTCACAGATGAATAGTAATAATTTAGCTGTCGTACCAAAAAATGTGTCAACTCGAATATCAAAGCAGTTTGACTACCTAATGAAGAATAACGTGGCAAAGGTGAGCCCACCAAAAAAATGACCCGACGGCCCAGGAGACTAATTGGCTTACACTGGTCAAGGATCATCTAAATCGATCAAACAGTACGCATCTAAGCGACCCATCCTTACATCCTAGACAAACGAGGGAACCATCGAGACATCATGGGGTCTCTTGCAACAGTTTTTTGTCACGTGTGTAGACTGTCCACCTGACTGACTCGACATGACTCAATGCTCGTTCTTAGTGTTTCGCAGCTCAAGACAACTTTCTAAGACCTCTGGTATATGCTCGGGGCACAAAACCAAGGCTTGTGATGTCGACCCCATTCGGGAGAACCCACAGTTGGACCTACTCACCCAGAACATTGGACGTGTTTGATGTCCATTGTGGTATTTAGAGGTCCCTCTGTATCCATTTGGAGCCTCCCTGGGGTCAAGAGAATTTACAAAACCCTCCTACAAGAGCTACGAGAAAATTAGGGTTTGGAACACCCTACTGGCGTTGTAGTATAGAGAGTCCATTGGTGACAAATTCCCTAATCATCGGGTGTGCTAAATACTCATTTTTGAGGTTAGGGGAACATAATTTACATATATGTTATCTCCCATAGCGTTCGGATCGAGAAACTCTTGTCAGGCACTCCCGATGTTAATCAGGGTTCTCAAAGCTAAAACCGACGCCTAGGAGCCAGCCTGAGGCACCTAAGTGCTTAAAATGGCTTCCCAGATGTTCAAAAGGGTACCGTTGAAAGTTTAGCACCAGTTGTTAGCTTATATGCACCAAACTGGGTGCTTAGGCGCCCGTCTCAGGGGGTTATGCGCCCAAAACTACTAAAAAAAGGCCCTTTTCCCAATAGATGGGAAAGCTGGTGCCGGAGCCCTAGTACCAGGGTGCCATATTGGGTTCCTAAGCGCAAATCTACTCCATGAACCCGATTTTTGAAGCGAATTTGACCGTTTTGACCCCCATGCACCCTTTAGGCAGCCCAAAAGCTGTATTTCCTTGGGCATGCAAAAAAGGGATTATCATACCCTTTTAGAAGCTTCCTAAGTGAGGTGGAAATACCAAATTTGGAAATTTTGGAGGGAAAATGGGAGGGGGTTGGATTAAGTATTTTTCTTCCCCTCATTTTACTATTTTCTCACATTTTCATTTTTTGGGCTGAAGCTTTGTGTGCTTGAGAGGGCAAGGGAGAACATCTTCTTATTCCTGAAGGAGCATAGGGTTTTCTTGGAACTTATAGCTTAGAGTAAGGAAAAGGAGCAAGGATCTTCAACCTCCTCAAAGAGAACATCAAGGGAGTTGGTTATCTCCAATCTTTTTCTTCCTTCTTCTTCCTCTTCTTCCACCACTTCATTTAAGTGTGTGAGGAGGAGTTTGGTCAATGAAAAAGCAAGTTTTTTTCTCTCCTACACTAAAGGAGAGCTTCATCTTAGCTTAAAGAAGGATTGGCGTAGCTTCATCGAAACTTCACTGGAACATTGTCATTACTCCTGACACTAGGAGAGCTTCATCATACATGAAGAAACATGACATCAAATGCCACGTTGATAAGATTCTTTAAAATCCCTCGTGTTTTCTTTCTTAGCTAGCCCTAAAAATAGAGTTTGCTAGGTGTTGTGTGTTTAGTCGCCCACATGAGGCAAGTTGTTCGGGCGACACTAGCCGGCATGGCCAAATGCTTTTTGATTAACTAATTTTATGGTGTCGTCATGGGTTCGATTGCCCACACTAGCAAGTCGGGCAACCAACACTAGTCGACACTGCCACATGCCTATTGATTGGTCATTTATTTTCTAAAGGAAGCCCTATGTTAGGACACAGATGCGTGTCCAAATCCTTTTCGTAGTTGAGTGATTTCCTATTGCAAACCCTAGACTTAAATCCTTTGAGGGTTTGAAATATTTGTATTTGGTAAAGTTAGAAAAGCTTTTTAGCTAGCTCACTTTGCAAAATCAAGAGGAGTTATGGAATGGGAAAAGCTTTGTAGCTAGTTCATTTCACAACACTGTAAAGAGTTGCAATTTTTGAAATCTGAAGGTGAAGCTTCCCACATGCCTCGCCAAAGCAGGAGGCATCTATGCTGCATATCAAAGAGCTAACCCCTAGATTCCTCTGCGAGTAAGATAGGGTGAGCATGGTTTGCTATTGTGCATGATGATTTCATTACGTTGCATACTTCGATGTGATGTATGTTGCATGGCAATTTTTGCACATTGCACTTGGGTTCGACCAACCGCCACAACACAATCAACCTTTCTTAGGTTCGATTAGTAACTCCAGCCCGATCGACCAATCACTTAGGTCCAACCGACCACACTCGATTGACTGATCACATTGGTCCAACCAGCCACCCATATCGGGGTCAACCGATCACTTTGATCATATCAGCCGCCCCAGCTTGGTCAACCGATCACTTAGGTCTGATCCGTCGTCCCGGCCCGATCAACTAATCACTTTGGTCCAATCCGCAGCCTTAGCCTGACCCAACATGTCGAACATCCAATTTCACTTTCATAGAGTATGTTAAGATGATGAATTATATTGAGTAGATCCTTTATACTCTTCTCTTATAATGAATTAATAATATGTGTAGGATATTTTGTTATATTTAGAATAGTTTTAATCATTAAAGTGATGGTTTTACTTTGTTCTTAATTTACTTATCATTTTGGTCAAGTGATAAATTAAATTTTGTTTTGAATCAATATTGACTCGAGTGAGCTATGAAATTAACGACTAGGATAAACAACATTGTACAATTGGATGAAAGAAAAGTAGTCCATAGAGAAATAGGTTTTGATGGGTTCAAATTGGGGTTTATAGGGTGACAGGCAGAAACATTAACCAAGTTTAAACCAAGCTTCTTTATGCGCTTGAAAGAGCAAAGAAGTTGTTTGCTCATGTTTGTCACTTAGTACAATCTCTATTCAAAGTATTCTATTCCTAAACACATTACTTATGTTACTGCAAGGGAAGGGTAGTTTTTATATCTTGATCTTTCTCGATTCAATTAGCTTTAGTAGAATTAACTTAGAAGTAATTTGATAAAATTAGTGATAGTTTAGTAGGATTAACAAGCATAACTTGGATCGACTATACTTCCAGGCTAAGACTCATTATAGTTGGCTAGAACTTTTCTTAGGTGTAAATCACAGCCTTCCCTGTGAGATCAATAATTCATATTCAATAATCTGATATTACTTGAACGATATGTATATTTATATGAAAATCCTAGTGTGCAGTGCTTCATTGTTATTAAACTCAAGTTCTAAAATTTATATACCTATTTAAGATTTTAAATAGTTCATCCATAGGCAGTAGATTTGACCATATGTCAATCAATGGCTCGATTTAGAACTCAAGTTTCTTCTTTCTTTCCCCTAACAAACAACAAAGCAATGTTAAAACAAATAGTGTGTTGAAACTCTATTCTCATTAGAATTTCCAAAAAAATTATGGATAGACATAATCTTACTGAGCTGGAGACATGATCTTGCTAAAAATTTTCTTCTCACCTTTTATTTATGCCACACATTTTGTACTTCCACTTTCTTTTTTATTTTGACATAATTTAGTCGATTCATTTTTATTTAAAGATAAATAAAAACTATTTTAAGAAAATTATAGTCACATATACTCTCAATACATTATATGTCATATAAGAGTAATTCAATACATAAGTAATTAGTCGTCCTACGAAATTTTGAAAAATTGTTATAATGCCAAACTCTTAAAAAAAATTCATATTTAACATAGAAGGGATTGATTGAGATCACTTATATTTTTTTATTTTTATTTTTATTTTATTTTATTTTATTTATATGTTGATAATTTGAAATAAAACATATTTGATGCTAGTAATTTATTTTAAAAATACTCACAATTCTAAAATTTTTTTATTATTATTATTTTTAAAATATATATATTAAAAAGATAAAAATATGTAAAAAATACACTAAATAAATATATTTTAAATAAGAAAATAAGAAAATTTTGACAAAAAATGCCTTGAAATTCTTTGTTCTTCTGCAATGGCATTATAGATGCTTACAAACTTTACATACAAATAAAAAAAAAATACATATGAATTGATATAATGTTTATAAAATCAAATAAATTTATTTATATTTGAATTTGTCCAAGGATGAAAAAGATTTATACAAGGCAAAAATATTAAAAATTGCCTTTTAATTTTTAGGCAAAAATATTAAAAATTGCCTTTAAAATTTAGATTTAGTGCCCATCTTTCTCATCCCTTTTTATATAAAAAAGGGGGTTAATTTTAAACATTTTGGTGTGTTATTTTAATAAATTATCTAAAAATCTCAAAGTCAAAGCACTTTCATACTATTTTCTTTTATCATATTTTTTTTCTTACAA